GATTACAACACATTATGTCTGTTGTCCTTCAGGTGCATTACGTGATTCGTAACTGATTACAACACATTATGTCTGTTGTCCTTCAGGTGCATTACGTGATTCGTAACTGATTACAACACATTATGTCTGTTGTCCTTCAGGTGTATTACGTGATTCGTAACTTATTATAGCACATTTTATCTGCTGTCCTTTAGGTGTACTACGTAATTCGTAACAAGCAGACTGGTCTTGTCATGGACATCAAGGGATGCTGTGGCGACGATGGCGCCACCATCTGTATGTGGGAGTATTCTGGCGGCGACCACCAGCTCTGGTCGTACGAGGACGGTGTGCTCAGGAGCAAACTCAACGGTAGGGGGCGCTCAGAAAACTAGATAATTCTTATGTAAAAATAGTTTCATTGGATCTCAGTTTTGATAGTCAAGACAGTTTTCATTTATGATAGATCCAAATATCTTTCTTGACTACATAATTCTTATGTCGATTGCTTTTTTCCAGTAAAAATTGAAATGGTTCCAAGGCTCTTACGAGAAATTGTCAAATTACTTAAAACACGCGACTTGGTTGGCAAATATTTTGTTAAGTAAAGACTAAATTTATTTTAGAGAAAAAAATGTCCAAGGGCAATTTGCCTACATTTTCCGTTTAAACTAAACTGGAATCTTTTCCATAATTTGTTGATGTTAACTCTTCAAAAAATTACTTCCCATTTTAAATAGTTAAAACAATATCGCAGAGATTTCACAAAAAGTACCAATTTTTTCTATTTCTCTACTTAAGGCAAGGTTCTGGACCTGAAGGACTGCAACGCCAGCCCCGGTAATGACGTATGTATGTGGAGCCACAATGGCGGCCCAAACCAACGCTGGGTGCTCTGTGAGGACAACACCATCTGTAGTGAGATGGGGGGAGACCTTGCTCTCGACGTCATGAACCACTCCACAGACGCTGGCGCTGATGTTAAGATCTGGAACAGACACGGACAGGGCAACCAGCAGTTTGTCTTGGAGGTCGCCCCGGGCAAGTAGAGCTACAGGCGACTGGAAAGTCGTTAGGTAGCTCGAGAAGTACGGCCAGATGATCAAAAGGACGATCAATAACTTTACGTAGGCAGCTTGCGTTGCGTTCGCAGAAGGAACTGTAGTTAAAGAAAGTTATTTACGGCAATATCAGCTAATTGTTACTACTAGGAGTACTCGGCTGAATGCTTTAATAAAGATATTGTGGTTGTACTCATTTCTTTACTTTTTACTCAACTTTAAGTCCAACTAAGTCAGGAGAAGCCAAACCGGCAGACATCAGCGTGTCTGTGATCAATCCCAACCCGCCAACTTTGGTATTTATAGTCCGGAACAAACAAAATGAAATTAACTCAGCGATAGAGATAGCGTTCCATTCTCACTCTAACGTCCGCCGTGTAAATCACGAGTGAAGTCCTGATATCAAGGGAAGGTGGGTGTCAGGATAAACAGTTCATTGTGTCTCTCCTCCTATCAGCCTGATACTCCATTACAGTATTGATACAGCGATTACGGTGCCCTTGTGTTAGCTGTAAATCAAGGACGCTGTGATTAAGGTCTGAGTCACCTGGTTTGGAATGATATAAGGATGATGTGAACGCGGGAAATGACACCCACCTTCTGCCCTCTACCAGAGCCATAGATTGACTATTCACAGGATATTCACAGATATGTCTTTAGATAAACAGACAGTTATTTTACTATGCCCGTTTCACTTTTTTCCTATAATACCTATGATACCACCTGCCTGGTTAGTAACGTACTACCGGAGACCCTCGTGATTAGCCCCACCCTTTACTAGGTGGCGGGTAGAAATTGCCAGTAAAGTTCACTGACACGAAGCATTAATTCCATATAGATGTCTGGGACGGGCTGGGGGAGATGGGATGGGGGTGGGATGGGGGAGAGCACAGACTTGTTTCTTCCCATTTGTTTCACGAGTCTTCGGTCTATTTGAAAAAAGACATCTTCCACCAAAAGGCAGGTCTGGTTCACACTATTTTCCCAAAATGACACAAGGGCCACGAAACCTCTGTTCACGTGGTGCCTTATAGGGGGGGGTCTTGTTTTCGTGATGCAGAACCCTTCAATCTGCCCCCCCCCCAGGCTTGTCGATTTGACAACGATATCTGCTCAGGTTTGGGCGTTTACACCGTTGATAACACTAGAGAATCACTAGATTAAATTCCATTTACAACCCAGCAAACTACTACGATGTCAATACGTATAAATCATCAGATAAAAGGTTTGACCAGTGTCATGGTTTTACTGCCCAGAGGCACGTAGGCAACTAAGACAAAAAGCCAACGATGATAGGAATAGAATTATACTGTTTAATGGAATATCTTCATTCCTGTCAGCGTACAACATTATTCATATTCCACCGATTACACGTTAGAGATGGTATCAATTTTATAAATACTGAAAAAGGCTCAAATTACAATTGTAAATCATATCAATATTTTACACGATTTATATGAAAAACAAAACTGTACAAGAGTATTTACTTGTGGCGGTATTGCTACTGGTATTCACAGACTAGATTTTCTATTCTATACTTAAGAGTTCTATGTTCATCTTATCGTCACGTGATATGCCCCGCTGTGACGTCACTGCGGCAGACGACATGTCTGTGTAAAGGCGGGATGGCGATAAAATATCTATGCAAATCTAAAACTAAGTTTACAAAAGTAATGAATCACAGCTCAAAAACCACTGTTGAACACGGAACAAAATTATCAAGACATTTTATCCACTACCGGCCATAGAATTCTACAGTGCCGACTTGATGCCTCAAATCAAATTCTTGATCGTTTGCTACTTTACAAACTTTACATCACAAAATATGTTTCATTAAATAACATCATCAAACCTAATAGCCTTCCTTGTCCTGATATTCTTTAACAGAACAGCTACTTGGCAAGTTGCTTTGAATTAACTAATTGTAAATTAAAACTGTGCTAGGACTAGAATTGCTAAAACAATATTAATTCATTTTCTTCACAATAACAGCCAGCCTGGTCTACTCCTGGCATTGACTCGTATAAATATCTAGATTAGTATTTTAAAAATATGAAATCAACTGCTTTGGCAAGAAGAGCTGTAAACTGACTACATATAAATAAATGAAAAACTTCAATATAAAATGACCACTGTCATCCTGCTATTGCAAGGCATACTAGAGCAACTGACTTTGTACACAAATTCACTGTATCACGGTAGGCCTACTGTAAGGTGTGGTTGTATCTGGTTGTGTTAGGTGTGATTGCGCTGGGTATAATTTGGCTGTGTTGACATCCCAACAAATGTACCGACAGTTGGCCGAGTTCATAGAATGTGTTTGCTGGGAGTCTTTCACTTTCTATTAAATTATACAAAACTGTAATAAATGCACTGTTCACTACCGCGTCCATTGAGCCTGCTAATTCTACATCTACGCACTACATATACATATCAAGTTCATTATGCACATTTGTATTAAAACTTACACTGTATTTTCATTTAAAAACATGTTATATCTTAGACTCCACGGGCGCTGTGGCCACTGTATTATGATGCTGTCTGTAGCGTTTTTGTTCTCGTCTAGCGATGTCCGTTTGAAGAGGTCGTTCCCCTCCCCTCTCCCCCGTACTAAGGTTGATATCAACAAGCGCCTTGGCTAGCCCAGCAGTCAAGTCAGTAGCACTAGTGCGAAGTCGCTCACGTGCCAGCCATGTCTGTAAATTCCTGTCGTCCTCTTCGCCCGTGTCTCGGTCACGTGGTTGGAGACGTTCCCATGCTGACTGTTTCGAGGGTTCTGATTGGCCCAGTGACGTCACAATGGCCCTGAAGTGATCGACATCCTTGACTCCTCCCACTGTGTGCCGCCGACGTAACTTTTTATCCACACCTGTCCGCCGTTTCACTTTCGGGCCTTCCTCCGAGACCTCGCTTTTTGGCGACTGTTCCGTCCTCTCCGGCGAGCTCACCTTTTCCGCGGAGTGAGCGTCTATCTCCAGGTGATCCAGAGAGCCCGCCTTGCGCAGCCTGCCCTGGACAGTGTCGCGGCCACCCTGGGCCGCCTGTTGGCTGAGATTGGACCCCGTCTTCTCAAACTTTGTCATTGGCATCACCTGGTGACTGGGCGGTATTGTTTGAGTGTTGTTACCCTCAGGCGCGCCTCCAGAACTAACTGCAGTGTTCTCTGTCCTGTCACTTGTAGGCGGTGGATTTCTCTCAAAACGCGACGCTATGCCTATTTTAGTTTCAGTCTTTTCTGGTCTTTTATTATCTAATCTACCAGAACTTTTGTCTCTTATATTGTCTTGCACGTTAATTCTATTACTATCGTGTATACTGGATGGAAACCTGGTATAGTCACTGCTCCCAGGCACCAAGAGAGCCTTCAGTCTGTCTTCAAGGGGGGCCGAGCTATTTCCGTCCTCTGACGCGCTGGAGACAGAATGCCTGACATCATGGCGGTCGTAGTAGTCCCGTAAGGAGTCTAAAGAGCCACGTCTGTGCTGGGCTCTTGAGTGGTCCACTGTGTTCAGATCGTGAGGGTACGGTTCCAGTTCCCGACTCCTCCTTTTCCGAGTGTACCCGTCGTGAGGCGGCGGTTTGTGCCGAGGTTCATTCTCCACCGACGCTCGACGTAATGTTATTGTGCGTGAGGACGCGTGCTGTGGCTGAGCCGGGTGCTGAGACAGATGGATACGCGCGATGCCGGAGCCCAGGTCGGTGGTATGAGAGCGCCGTAAGTGTCCCGGGTGGGCAGAACGGCTCACTGTCACGGCGTACACTTTCGAACCTCCAAAGGCAGGACGACCGTCAGACTGGACAGTTGGCATGTTAGATCGTAAAGGTCTGGAATGCTCTGGATCTACAAGACTTAATTTGGCGTCAGCGTGTAAACTTGTCGGCGAGGTGTTACTAGAGTAGTCGGATGTTTGGTGTGGAGGCGGGGCGCGCTGATTTTCAAAGGCTGTATACGTAGCAGATGATGTTGTAGAATAATCTGACGTGATAGAGGTGGTGTCCGCCTTATTGCTGAGATCTGCCAGTTTATTGCTGTAGTCTGAGATCTTGTTAGTGATATCTCCCGGCTGAGCGTGTTTCAGCAAGTCCTCCAAACTACTGTCCTTGCTCTCCTCGTCCAACTCTCGCTGTGTCTTCTGTAACTCCACCTCTATCCGCTGTCTCTCCAGCTCCCGTTTTTCCTTCTCTCTCTGTCTCTCCTCCTCTTTCTGTCTCATGGCTCTCGCCTCAAACTCCAGCCGCCGTTTTCTCTCCTCGTGGCTAACGCTGGGCTTCTTATACCCGTGAGTTATCTCGACCTCGTCGTGATCCAGGCGGGAGTCTAATAGCGACTCCTCAGACCGAGGCCGCGTGATGGAGGGTCTATTGTGAGTATAAATGGTGTTAAAAGTTCTCTGGAATGCCTGTTTCTCCGTCACTTGCTGTCTTTGTAGGTCAAGGTCATCAGAGTACGATGACACAGGAGCTATTTTTTGCGCCTGTCGTGTGGAGCCAGAGTCTATTCTCTGTTGTTCCTGTGAGGAGACACTGGTCACAGTAGTGGTAGTAGTGGGCGGGGGCTGGTGGCTGTCCAGAGAGGACTGACCCCTGCTGCCCACTGAGGACAGACTGACCTCTGTAGAGCACCTGCCCAGCAAGTTCACCTCAGACGTTTTCTGGTCCAGTCCTCGATCCTCAGACTTACTCCTAGAATCCACATAATCCGTTTTTGTTGAGAACACACTGTCTTTCTGACCTCCTGACTCTACCCTCTCTGTGGGCTGCCCCTGCATTTTCAGTTGCCTGGCAACAACTGCTTCATCAATGTTTCTTTCATTGAAGCCACATTCACTGCCGATGTCTGAGCTGTCACTGCTGGATTTCTTGTCCTTTCTTTTCACCCGTTTATTGGCTGCTTGGATGATGTTAGACACCAGATCCTTGGCGCTGATCTCACGTCCATCTGCAATGAAAACATACAGATTTAGTAGGATTACTCTCATCTCAGTGTCATAATAAAAGGAATCCATCTACTCAGTAACCAAAGGACAAGGCGTATGGCAAAATATTACAATGTATAAACTCATTATCAGAATAAAGAAAAGGGAAACATTCAAAACTTGACTTAATACAGATGATGAAATCATTTAATCAACTTTCAAGAGGAGAGGCATGACAAGAAATAAACATATATATAAGACATTTTCAACAATCTCAAAACCATCACTTCAATTCAACCATCAACAACAATCAATGAACTAATGCCCAATGCTTCTCCAAGTTGCTGCCAGTGACATGGAAGTCTCAGTGGACCTGTTTACCAACTCCCCACCTCCTTACCATCCACATCAAACCACACCACACATATCTCCAAGTCAAATACTGTATTCAGTGTATTCAAACCAAAACAATGTGGAGTGACTGAAATATGTAGCACATTTCCCCCGTGATGATGCAAAATTCCATCACAAACCTTTTTTCAGGTAAATTGTTTGTATTTACTTCAATCATAACTGAAACTTCATTTCGAAACATCAACCGTGCAACCCATGTCATCCTTGTTTGCCAACCAAGAAGATGAATTTAGGTTGAAACATCTTTATTTCACATACAGCTTAATTTATTTGTTCTGTTGAGACCCCTGCAAAAATGTGTCTCATTTAACGTTCACTTACGGTTCTCAGTCTATTCTAAAACATTTGGGGTATTATTATTATTATTATTATTTTTTTTTTTGCAGTTCTAATGTTGTCCTGTAATGTTGAATGTAACAGTTTAAGAACTGTTTTTGGGAAGTCCTTCAGAATGTCCTAAAACAGATTAAGAACATTTTTCATTAAAAGAGGAAAACATTATGTTCTAGGACAGATTGACAACCGTAAGTGAACCTTAAATAAGACAAATTTTTGCAGGGGGAGTGAGATGTCTAAACTTTACATGGCACTTTCTGGGTGGGCAGGCAAGTTGGACCAGGGTTCAACACTCAGCAATAACGGAACTGCTCAACTTCAGTGCACTTCAAAAATAAATGGTGTCCCTGTCATCATCTGTGTGTCTTAACCAATGCAGGCCAGTGATCAGTGCTGGATGACCAATGGTCGTGACCTGATCCCCAGTGGTCATTACCCAATGACCAGCACTGCCATTTTATGATACTGGTCAAAGGCACAGTTTAAAATCAATGTTGTATTATATACCGCCCCTCCCCCTCCCAATATCTTGATCATGTCATATACAATGGTATCATGTATATACAAAATAATGTAAATATTTGAATAATTTTTATGTCTGATAAAATTTATAAATAGTGTTATAAATATATGCTAGGGAAGCTGGGTTAAGACTATAATATAATCACAGAATGAACTGAAATAGAAATAATAAAATTAATGTAACAAACTACAACTGAACAGCAGCACACACCCCAAACCAACAGCAAGCCTGTCTAACATAGGACAGCAAGCCTGTCTAACATAGGACTGGTGGAAAGTTACTCAACATCATGCTGATCTTGGTGGGTTAAAACTGGGCAACATACCAGCTTCATTTTTATAACAAGATATGTAATAATCATTGAAAGCCAAAGTGGTTATTTCAAACCATACTGTAAACATTGACACCATTATAAATTGAATAACTTTCTTTTTCTGACAGGAGAGAGCCCTGCTTCTTTGGGAGAAAACACATCAAACTTGATAAATCTCTCTCTCTCACACAGACACATACACGCGCAAGCACGCACACACACACACACACACTTGTCCTACCATTTTCTCCATGTTAACTATGCCTCCCTCTCCCCATACCTCTATATACACACACCACTTGCTACCAATATCTCCCCACACATATCATTATTACCTGTCTCTGGGTATCCTGGTGTCATGCTATGATAATACAAACAACAGCTCTCAGTACATTAACTGGCATACACTTGACATGCTTCAAAGCCCAGTAAAGCATTTAAAACTCTTCTCATTCTTAATCTTATGATAACAGCTGAACTAAGTTTGGTTTTAGTTGATAGCTTGGGTTGTGAGGTGGTCACATGAATAAAACCCCCTCCAGGGGTGGACGGAAGCTGTCTTCTGGGTCTTTCAAAAGATCGTCAAAAATGTTCAAGTTCACATTGACAGGCATCTAATTTTTTGTCGGAAGACAGTTGAAAATGGAGGATGGATCAACAAAGATAATTTGGAAGACTGTTAGAAAATATCTCTAGATCTGCCCCTCCTCTCTTCCCCCCTGATGTCCAAAAAGACTTTCCCATTTTTGACTTACCATAAAATCTATGAACTTTCTAAACTAACATTTTCACACAAAATGAGATATTTTCCTTGACAGACAAACAAAACCTAGCTCTGACTGGTTGGGAATAGGAGAAAACAACAGGAGCCAATCCAGGGCTCTAAACTGGAGAGCCAAAACTTTCATACTTTCTATTCTTATCGGCCAGTAATGAGGACAAAAAATCCACTCAGGTAAGAAACTCAGATTTCCTTTCTTGATTCATGTAAAAAAGCATGCGAATCTCCCCCCCCCCCCAACATCCCTCAACAGTAACAGAGCACAATGCAGCCATCCTCATACTGTTCACAGGCAGTAGATGACCCTGATGCAGGTTATATAACAGCAGTTCTCTCTGTGCCCCAAGAATGTCACCAATGCCATGATGCAGTATATAAACCAAGGCATGACTCTCTGTGTGACAGCTCCAAGATAGAAAAGAGCCCAGTGCCATGATGCAGTGTATGTAACAGGTACTGGATTCCTGTCTCTGTGAATGCCCTGGTAGTACAACATACCCAGTGTCAGCAAGCAAACATCCAGGCTCTCTTTATGATGACATAAGACATTTACAGAAGATTAGAAAACATTTTTATTTCTAGTACCAGACTCTGTAGCTGCATTCTCACCAGGACTTAATTAGACCATGAAAGAGTTACAGAAAACATTAGAAAACCAAACTGTGCCATTTGGAATCCATGATATAACAGAACCAATAGCAAAGCTTTCTCAGGAACCTTCTGGTCCAATATTGTCCTGATATACAAATACAGATTTGGCTTAATTTTTTCAGTTTCTCTGCTGACACTGGTTAGGGCAGCATGCCAGGCAACAAGGACAGAGAGATATATATCACAGTGCAGTATGGTACCATGCCAGGCACCAAGGACAGAGAGAGATATATCTAAGTGGAGTATGGTACCATGCCAGGCACCAAGGACAGAGAGATATATCTCAGTGCAGTATGGTACCATGCCAGGACAAATATCAAACTGGGAAATTCTCCACACCTAGCATGCTCTGAGCAAGCCATTACTGTACCTAGTAGTCGGAGATTGAAGGATGGAAGGTGGCGCGACGGAGGTTTGCTCTCCGGCTGTGGAAGAACTGAAAGAGATAAGGGGGAAAGGCGGCACTTGACCACTGCTTGGAGGGTGTGGGTGGGTCATCGTCCTCATCTAGGTCACTACTGTCCAAACTGACCAATGTCCAGCCTACTGAGTGGAGAATAACATGGAGACAACACTGACCACTATGGCATGGGAATTTATAAAACAAACACCACTACCCAACTCTAGTGATAGGTTTATAATCATCATGGTATACTTAGACCCCTTCCCTCAGCTTTTAATTCTACCTCAAGTCCCTTAGACAGGAGAAATAATTAACCCTTCCTCTATCCCGTGTTTTCAATTTCATCCAAAATATTAAAAATGCATCTCAATTTGTTCAATTCTTTATCTTGGCTGCAATATGACAAAGTAGAATAAAAATTTTACTAAAAATTATTCACAGCTTTGCTTGTGAATTTGTAAAATTTTGATTTCTTTCCAATCTAGAGAAACTGAAAACAAATTTATTCTTTTCCCCTTTCTACATTTTAACGGTACACCTGGGGATGCCGGATATTCCATCAGGTTTCTGCGCTATTCTCAGACTAAGTTATCAGGAGTATGTTGGTCAGTACATGCTAAGCTGTTGTAAGATGTCACTTATGCACAATGAAGCTACGTCAAAGCTACTGCTCCACTTCTACAAATTAGATACAAATAATATATTTTTCTGCCACATCTAGTTCTATTAAAGCTATGTAGTCTAGTAATAACTAAATGAGATAATCCTCAGATTAGAACAACAGGGCAATAGATCAGAGTTGAAGCATATTTCCAGGCTTTATAAATGGATTAGGCATTTTCTAACATGTGCCTCAGATTTATGAGCACAAATGCCCGTATAAGTGACTCCAGCCACAAATTAATTACCCCAACATAGAATTACTTGCCACAAGCACAGCGTTTCATTTCACAAACAGTTTATCTGCTTGTCTACCCATCAGGTATGTTCTGTATGAGCCAGAAATTGTTGAAAACACACTGCTGCAGTAAGAAAAACAGCCCTAGTGGGCCTACATGTATGTATACAGCTAGAAACCTGGATGGAAGCAGACCAAATAGTGTGTGCTTTGAAACACTAAGCTTGTGGCAAGTAAAACTTCCTTGGAGTAGTTCATTCATGGACGGAGTTGTTAATTTGTGTGTTTGTGCTCTAAATTCTAAGGAGCATGTTATCAATTATCATTTATGAGGCCTGATTTTGTATGAGTTGAATTCTGAGGAAATCATTTGAAAATTAGACAAGGCAGCAAAGCTGTCAAATGTACAGACAAAGAACAGAAAATAAAGATGCAAATAAGTGAAAAATTAAATTTTCACAAAAAACTGTTAAATTGCCAGAAAAATTTACCAAACAGACTGCGTTGCCTATTGAAGCTGTATGTTAGACCCATGTTTCTTTCCTGTAAGTTTGAGAACAGTAAGTGACATGATTTCCCTTAAATGGTCATCATAGGAGCAGTGCCCAAAATAGGGGTTTCTTCAAATTTTGATGCAACATTACATAATGTTTAACAGCATAATGACAATCAAATGTTATTAATAAAATATTAGTAACATGGNTAGAATTACTTGCCACAAGCACAGCGTTTCATTTCACAAACAGTTTATCTGCTTATCTACCCATCAGGTATGTTCTGTATGAGCCAGAAATTGTTGAAAACACACTGCTGCAGTAAGAAAAACAGCCCTAGTGGGCATACATGTATGTATACTGCCAGAAACCTGGATGGAAGCAGACCAAATAATGTGTGCTATGAAACACTAAGCTTGTGGCAAGTAAAACTTCCTTGGAGTAGTTCATTCATGGACGGAGTTGTTAATTTGTGTGTTTGTGCTCTAAAATCTAAGGTGCATGTTAGCAATTATCATTTATGAGGCCTGATTTTGTATGAGTTGAATTTTGAGGAAAGCATTTGAAAATTAGATAAAGGCATTGATACCACAAATCTGCCACATTTGTCCTCTGGCAGTAACAAAACTTTGACCAACACCAAGGCAGGATTGCCAACTTTAAGGACTATATTGCTGGTGATTTTGCTTTTATCCAGAAAATAAAATAATTCTATTAGATCCGAGAAATTCAGTAACTTCAGTTTTTTCCAAGATCTAGCTTTTTTAGGAAAATAAAGGTATTACTGTAAATATTATTTGATTTATTTTTGCAGAATATTACCAAGCAAACCAGTCTGGCTGACATCAATATTTACAAACCCACTGCTGTCAAGTGGCAGTGTCTGTTCTAATGCCCTGTTATCCACATATTATAAAGGATTTAAGTAGCTTTAGTATTATTATGTTTTACCAGAACTTTACTATCAAGGACACCTGCTCCTGGGATAATTCAGTAAGTTTGTGCATCAGCCATGTATTAACTTGGGTAAGCAATATGCCTTAGAACTTCTGTTTTATTACGGGCACACTTTTCATATTGTCAAACAAGCAGTTAAGTACTGATTTTATTTTTGCCACTCTTTTCATTTCTGAATTCAGTGAAGCCAACTTTTTCAGTACAGCACTATCTCCCCAGAGAACCCTCACTCAGCTTCTGAAATCCCTATAGCAACTTCTGGTGACCCCAGAATGACCTCTGATGACCTTTCAAGGTCATGACCCCTAGGCTCCACCCACCTGTCTCCTCAGACCTGGCTATCTTGGTCAGCAGCGTGTTCATACTGGTCACAGGGTTGGCGTCCACTGGCTCCTCGTCTAGCGGGACGTGCGTGTCCTCTTCCCAGTCACTAAACATCCACTGGTTCTGGAACAAAAAGTGTTCTTCTCTTTAAGAATACAACAACTGTGGCTACACATTTACACTATAATTTACTGTGATCCATTGGTTCTGGAACAGAACAGAGCTCCTTTTTAAGAATACAATAGTTGTGGACAATAGTTGTGGCTACACATCTACACCACGGCATGAACTCACACACAGCTTTTTTTTTTTTGCCTTTTTCACACTATGTTGACTCCAAATATCAAAATTATTTAGAACTTCTGCAGTGGCTTCTTGTCAAAATTTTGTTTATCTGCTTACATAGGTAAATAATTCAATCTTGCATCCTTATACTGTACTTACATGTTGTATGATAGTTTCCACAATACGACACTGGTCAGACATATCAGTCACCAGACTGTACATGCTCTCGTCTGTCGTCCTCACTAAAGTTGGACCAAACACTATGGCTAGATTCCTGGCATCCATCTGCAACAAGAAAAATATATACCTTGTGTTTCATTTCCATTTCTCTGAATTTTAAATGAATGAATAAATTTTAAAAAAATAAAAAAATAAATCCTGAAAATGCTAGTGACACAGGCACACAGCTCTAAATGAATTGTCATAGGAAACACATTACTTGGCTGTCACATCTAGCACAATGCTCAACTGTCACAACTAACACACTGTCCTGTCACAGCTAACACAATATAGTGACAGATTGCCCCCTGATTTCATCACCTTATTAACATGTCCATAAGATGCCACTTTCTTCAGGTGCTGAGCCAGGTAGTTGAAAGTCTCAAAGTGGTGCTCAGGGAGATCATGCAGCAGTTTCTTCAAGATCAACATTCTCTTCTCTGGGTTCTCAAGACGGTTGGCATCTATGAAGGCTTGGTATAGCTCTGTCAATAAACAAACAGATGACCTTATAATCACAACTAGCACATTTTGATTATTTACATATTCACAACATATACCTGTACGTAATAACAATGACTGAGAATCAATTTACACGTAAGAAATGTAACAGATAAAGAAAGGTGTTAGCAATTTGTCACACTGTGGACAGTTGAAATTGCTGACTGGCCGTATTGATGCATCACTATGTACTACTGCTGGATGATAAATGATCAGTGCTCTACTCGTAACTGTATGCTCTGTTTGCAGGTATTTTCTGATATTAATGCTGCTTACCATCCGTTACTAAGGATTCTGGAAGTTTTCGGAAGAAGGACTTCAGAAGACTGCCCACTACATTGACATCCAGCCATTTCTCATTATCTGGGTTAGGTGATCCCTGGAATACAAATATCCAACAAACATTATTATCAACACTTAATAAGAGGTAACTGTGGTATTGAGGAATACCAATCATCCTTTACATCCTAATTAATAATCCAAAAAACCTCACAGGTAATATTATTCAGGTATTATTAATAAAATCATTAAAAATTACCTCAAATACAGAGAAAAAAAAAGATTTGGGAACTATAGACATTCTTAACTTCTGTTAGTTCACTGACATCACAATGACATTATAACCTTCAACTAGTGTGTATAAAAAGAAAAGTACCAAAGTGGTGAAACTCTTTAACAAATTCTCCTGTACCTTGTTGAGCTCCTCTTGTAGTGTTGCCACGGCAGCAGTGTTGCCAGGCACCCTGTAAATGCCTACAAACTCCAGGCCCCTGGCCTCTACTATACTGGTACAGATCTCTATCACCATAGGCAGGTACTGGAATACAACATGTCATAGAATGAGAGAGAGAGAGAGAGAGAGAGAGAGAGAGAGAGAGAGAGAGAGAGGATGGACAGAGAGATGGTGGGAGAGAGAGAGAGAGAAAGAGAGACAATACTTAGCACTAAATTCTTAGCAATTAAGCGATGCCAAGCAATGAACATGTCTACCTTCTACTATCCTAAATTAGATTTTTTTTCTTTACAAACTGAGATGACAAAACTTTAGTACACATTCACAATTTCAATTTCACAATTTCCAAATTAAAGCTGCCTCTTTGAGCATTCTGTGCCCACTGACCTCATTATTAGAAGATGCAGGACACAGCTCCAGCGGGACTCCAAACGTTCCCACGGCCTCCTCCGCCTCTGCCTCTACATTGGTGGAGGTGCCAGAGCCAAATCTCTTCAGTCCCTTGGCCATCCTGCCGCGCCAGCTCTTGTTCTCCTTGTTCTTTGGAGAGTCCTCTGTAAACAAGAACACAGGGGTGGTGTTTAACAACTTGACATGTTAATATAACTCCCCTCCTTTTATTACAACATCCAACTTCACTATTTATAAAAGAGATAAATACTTAAAATTCCAAACAATTCCAAATACTCATTTCAATCTAACATTTTTCTTTTCAATTGAGAAATTTAAGTCAAGAGATGCTCCTACCAACAGCGACAAAGTTCACAGGTAATGTTAACAGGTTCCAACAAAACAATTATTATACATTCAACCATAATTTCATCTGTGATATCATCGAGTTCCAACATATAAATTCAGCTATAATTTCAGCTCTGATGTCACTGAGATCCCCACCTGCTCGCCTGTGTTTCATACTGGGGGAGTGTGGAGCCTTGGATGTCTTCACCGTTAACTTCTTCCCGGCTGACTTGGGCGCCACCTGTGGTGAGCTCTTGACGGTGGCGGCCTGCTGTTCAATCTGTGAAGATTTCCGCAGTATTAGATCAGTATTGCCAGCACCCTGGTCCTGTGGGAAACGCAAAGCAAACATGGCGGTGGGTTAAAATGCGGAAAACTTCATCACGGTCTGGTTAGGTTAGTGCAAAGAGTAGAGCTGCCAACTTGATGCATTTTGTCTTTTCTATACTATTTTTTATCATGAAATTTCTCTTTTATTTCCAAATGTTACTCTACTTAATAACATAGTAGGAAATGGGGCTACAGGTTTTGAGTAGCTTAATGTTGGCGACCCTAAGTAATGAGTACGGATACTTCTTCAGATAAAGATCAAATTCATGCATTAAGAGTGTGGACTCTTTATCATATGAAGATCAAATTATCATGGCAAAAAGTGAAAATTTCACATCAAGCTGAGGTATAGTTAGTGAGATTAAAATTTCTGCAATCATATCAAACTGAGAGGGTTACTGCAAGACATTTGATGTTTTCCTCCATGCAGAATAAATTAGTTTTTTTTTATCAATATCTCACAAAAGAACCACTCATAAGTTAATTTAGGTTGTGTGTTTTTGGTTAAGAGAGTGAAACCAATAAGAAAGCTACAGAGACTAAATTCCAGTGCATGACTTTAACTGTATTCAAAACCAGTCAGCAATGCCCCAGCTCATGTGTGGGTTTACTTATTTTTTTTCTTTTGGGGGGCGGGGGGAGGAGAGGGGGGGTTTCAAGTGTCAACTTTCTGAATGAAGTGTTGTTCTTAGAAGTCTCATATAAATTTACAAAAGATATGCATAAAACTTGTTAGTATTAAAGATTTCTAGGTGAATGCTACAAGCAGCAAAGCAAACATAACATGTGGTAAATATCAACATGCAATGACCATATTATCATTATCAGAATGACTTGTTTTCAAACTACATAAGTATTATGTTACTGTATATTACTGTATTTACCATAGTCAGTGCCCGTTTGTAAGTAATAGGTATAAATCGTGTTTTTTTTTTTTAGCATGTGCTTGTCGGCAAGATGGCAATACTGTTTATGGTGTATGTGTATGTGTGTGTGTGTGTGTGTGCACATGCATACATGCACCTGTGTATGCGTGTGTGTGTGCATGCTGAGTTTGTTATACATTCTCTGGGTCTTTGTGTTGCTGATTTCCAGTCCATATTGGTGTTGTGCGTGCATACTGAGATTGTCTTACATTATCAGGGTCGTTATGTTCCTGTATTTTCTGTATCCAGTCCATCATAGTATCGTGGTCTTCCACCTGAAACAGGTACTCTGAACCATTGTACGTGGTCAGCCGGAACACATGCTTCTTCTTGGTGTAGTCGTAGGCTATGTCCACCAGGCTGGACTTAATGGAGATAGGCTGCTCCTCAAGACCCAGGGGACTCTAGAACAGATATAGCAGAGTTATGGTAAATACTGGATTGAGACTTCTAAGTGGAATTTTCCTAAAGTAAAGTGTATTGTTAGGCTAGCATAAGAACATATCATATCCATCAACATAAAGAAAATGGAAAATAATTTTCAAGAACTGCTAATTTTCAATTGATTTGAAATTTGCACAGGCAGCTACATATAATATTAATTTGGAAACTAAGCTACATTCTGGCCCCTAAGATATGCTCACAGCATTCTCCTTCCTGTCCTTCTGCAGATAGAGGGCGTGTCCTCTGAGCTGAGCCCACATTGGCTTCCAGGAGCGATCACTGGACTTCTGCAACAACAAATATAACATATAGTAAATAACCTAGCTTTTTAGTTTACAATTTTCAGTGCAGGTAGACAACTCTTCAGTCATATCAATTTCACTCTGTTCACAAGAATTTATCAAACTGGATCAATATGCTTTCAGGAGGGTGCTTGAACTGAAATATTAACAATCTGAAAATGATGTATAGCTGAATTGTAATCCAAACCAGAAACAATTTTTTTTGGCCCACCACCCCAGCCCCTGTCCATACTAACCTTGCCATCAGTGACGGCTGTCTTGACCTGTAGTATGCCCTCTCTGACCACCTCGTGGAGCGGGCTAGGCAGGTCCCCCTTCTTCTCTGTGGCCTCCATGATCTTAGGGGTGCGCTCCCCAAAGAATGCCTTCAGCTTCTTGATGTGGGTTTTCTGGGGTGGAGTCTGTGAGCTGTGGAGGATATCGGGAAGAAAATATCACTGTTATACCAACTGATTGTGTCAGAAATATTGGAGGAAAAGCATCTAAGTTATAAGCTCCTTAAAACAGCAAAAAAAAAAAAAACAGATAAAACATTAAGATTACTAACGTTAGTTCTCTATGACAGGGTGTTAATTTGGGGAACTTTTTAAAGTATCTATCTTCATAATGTTGAATCTTCAGTGTTTTATTATTAGTTATGGTGGGTGATAGTACTGTTGTTTTAGGAAAATATACAAGATAACCAATTCCCTAAATGCTTCATTAACAGACTCTTAGCACAAAGAGTAGTACTGCATGAAGCAATCTTTCATAGCACAGCAGTCATCACCCATTACTGCACTGCTGATCTATTTTCTTCTTCTTCTTCTCTTTTTTTTTTGGGAGGTGGGGGGGGGGGGGGTGATAACTACTACTGCACTATCATGTAGTCTACATCTTACAGATCTCTGGCTCAATGTAAGCTACAACTCACCTGTCTGTCTCTAGGTCATCATTAGCGTTGACTGGCTGAGCACCCTGGTCTCTTCCTGTCGCCATCAAATATGACGACCTCCGTACCAGCTTCACACTGTCATCTTCTGGAAATATAGTGATAGTTATAGGTTATTAGTGAAGGATCTCTCTCTCTCTCTCTCTCTCTCCCAAGATAGTTCAAGAGGCAAAACAACAGTTACTGCACAAAAAAANACAAACATGTAAGTTATAAGCTCCTTAAAACAGCAAAAAAAAAAACAAAAAACAAACAGATAAAACAATCAGATTACTAACGTTAGTTCTCTCTGACAGGGTGTTAATTTGGGAACTTTTTAAAGTCAAGTATCTATCTTCATAATGTTAAATCTTCAGTGTTTTTTATGCGTTATGGTGGGTGATAGTACTGTTGTTTTAGGAAAATATACAAGATAACCAATTCCTTAAATGCTTCATTTACAGACTCTTAGCACACAGTAGTACTGCATGAAGCAATCTGTCACAGCACAGCAGCCATCACCCATTACTGCACTGCTGACCTTTTTTTTCTTCTTCTTCTTCTTTTTTTTTGGGGGGGGGAGGGGGGGGTGATAACTACTACTGCACTATCATGTAGTCTACATCTTACAGATCTCTGGCTCAATGTAAGCTACAACTCACCTGTCTGTCTCTAGGTCATCATTAGCGTTGACTGGCTGAGCACCCTGGTCTCTTCCTGTCGCCATCAAATATGACGACCTCCGTACCAGCTTCACACTGTCATCTTCTGGAAATATAGTGATAGTTATAGGTTATTAGTGAAGGATCTCTATCTCTCTCTCTCTCTCTCCCAAGATAGTTCAAGAGGCAAAACAACAGTTATTGCACAAAAAACTCAGAATAGACAATTTCCACAGAACATTTTTTTGCAAACCTGTCAGCTGATGTAGTCATCTATCTTGTCTACATAGATATTTGTAGTCTAATGAAATCAAACCTGTCAGCTGATGTAGTCATCTATCTTGTCTACATAGATATTTGTAGTCTAATGAAATCAAACCTGTCAGCTGATGTAGTCATCTATCTTGTCTACATAGATATTTGTAGTCTAATGAAATCAAACCTGTCAGCTGATGTAGTCATCTATCTTGTCTACATAGATATTTGTAGTCTAATGAAATCAAACCTGTCAGCTGATGTAGTCATCTATCTTGTCTACATAGATATTTGTAGTCTAATGAAATCAAACCTGTCAGCTGATGTAGTCATCTATCTTGTCTACATAGATATTTGTAGTCTAATGAAATCAAACCTGTCAGCTGATGTAGTCATCTATCTTGTCTACATAGATATTTGTAGTCTAATGAAATCAAACCTGTCAGCTGATGTAGTCATCTATCTTGTCTACATAGATATTTGTAGTCTAATGAAATCAAACCTGTCAGCTGATGTAGTCATCTATCTTGTCTACATAGATATTTGTAGTCTAATGAAATCAAACCTGTCAGCTGATGTAGTCATCTATCTTGTCTACATAGATATTTGTAGTCTAATGAAATCAAACCTGTCAGCTGATGTAGTCATCTATCTTGTCTACATAGATATTTGTAGTCTAATGAAATCAAACCTGTCAGCTGATGTAGTCATCTATCTTGTCTACATAGATATTTGTAGTCTAATGAAATCAAACCTGTCAGCTGATGTAGTCATCTATCTTGTCTACATAGATATTTGTAGTCTAATGAAATCAAACCTGTCAGCTGATGTAGTCATCTATCTTGTCTACATAGATATTTGTAGTCTAATGAAATCAAACTCATTTGATCTCTCACATATTGTCGTCTTTACCTCACATCTTGTCAGTAGTCTACACAGGAATCCAGACGGTGTTCTACTCTCATACTGAGATATATATTAAATGATATTACTGTCTCCTGATAATATTTCTCTGATAGTTATTCATGGGTTGTAGCCACTATATAAAATCAATACCACATTCTAGTTTTATAACACCTGGGCACCTGCTGATAATCACGTTGGTCATTCCAACAGAAAAAACTGGGCACTTACAGACCACAAAGAGACAATCATATTGGTCATTCCAATAAACAAAACTGGACAATAAGTGAGCTGACCATACGGATATTACAGAGGTCTTAGCAATAATCAAGGAAACTGACAAGATCAATATTTGTTGACCGTGACAATATCCACTGACAACTGCAATATTTACTGGCTTTTGTAAGGTATAACTGAGCTATAATAAGATATTACCAGTAAGGATTACCAGTGATAGAAACACTATATATATCTGGACCATCTGTAGGTATAAGTCAGCTATAATAACAGTGAGGATTACCAGACGAGTGATAGAAACACTATATATCTGGACTATCTGAACCGATGACTATGAGCACTTTGATGGTCCTAATGCTAAATTAACACTGACAAATGTCCACTATCAAATGACCACAAACTTATGTGAAATGATCACCACCAACTGACCTGCTAACAACATCATAACCAATTCAAGTCCAACCCTGTTACTTTTTTGAAATCTCAGTACTTAACAAAAATATGATGTTTTCCTTAACAGAAGCATACCCAAACACCCTTCCCATCAGCCAAAGAACAGGCAGAATATAAGACAGAAAATACATTCTGAAGGTAAATTCAAAAATCAAAATACTTTGGACAGCAGTATATGTACACTTTACTAAGATTATAACATTTTAAAAACTGAAATAAACTTACTGAAAATTAGTTGAAATCCGTCTTCTATTTCTTTTGACTATGAAGGCAGACTGTCATTACAAGGGTTACCACTAACTATGTAACTTGAATATGACAAAACCTCTGTACATCCTGGCTGAAATCACCTAGAGTATCCCTCTGTTAAAACACCTCACAAACTTCTCATTAATCTACCTCACAGCCTGGTGGTGCTGACGTCTCTTGCCTGTTTGAGTTCTATGTTTAATTAACTCTGCTAATCCTTGCAGCTAGTTATAGCCAGATTACTGTACATATTGACTTAAAATAGGTGACCAGGGATAAAAAGATTAGGATATTTTATACATAAGGCACATGATATAAGAGAAAGAACATGTAACAGAAATATTCTCACCATTTCTTGTGTAAGTAGCTGATCTGGTCAGTGAGTAGAACGGCATTGTAACAGTATATAGCTGATTTCACTCTCTGTAATTCTTTAATATCAACCCTCTGCCTCTTGAGCTTTACATGTTGATACATAGAACTCTTTATGAAAGCACTCCAATATGTGATATCCTACCTGGACATGTTCAAATCCAATATCTCCCCAGTCCCTGTTAATATGTCACACTTCCCTGTAGTAATCTATGTCTCCTCTCACTTATGGTTTGTGAATATCATACCTGAGATTTCACACCTGTCAGGTGAGAGGACAGAGCAGGGAGAGCACTGGCTTTGTGATGGTGATATCTTAACATAGAGATAGCTCTTCACTCAAGTGGTGGACACACAACTACACTCAGATCTCTAAGAATTTGTTATCACAACTACACTTATTATACCCGCGGCACATTAGAGAGGCGACTAGGGTGTACAGGCTGGGGGTTATACGCGTGGAATTTAGTTCACATCCTTAAGATGTGTGTGTGCGTGTGTATGTATGTGTTTGTGTGGGTATGTGTGTGTTTGTGTGTGTGTATTTGTTTAAGTGTGTGTGTGTATGTGCGTTACACAGAACAACATGAAAAAGTAACGTTTACTTGATAAGAAGGATATATCTGGTTGTATTTCTGCATGAATGCTTGTTTGTGTACGTGCGTACAGGAATGCATGCATGTGTGTGTGTGTGTGTATGTGTGTGTGTGTGTGTGTGTGTGTGTGTGTGTGTGTGTGTGTGTGTGAGAGAGAGAGAAAGAGAGACAGAAAAGGTGAATAACTATCACTTTCACCACTTGATATATCATCTCATATCAACACAATATGGTGCTGTGATCCACCATCTATAGCCTTTGATCATGTTCATCTTATTTATATTTAACCTGTTGTGAACAGGCTTTAGACTACATGATGCACATTCCATCAGTGTGTTTAAGAGTTAAACTAGCTGTGAACAGACCTAAGAGAAGTCTTCATGCCTACATCTTGTACATTCCATCAGTATATTTTGTCTGCTGTCCTGACACAATAAATACAACACAGTATTGATTCAACAAGCTGTCTCTTCCTCTCCATGTTTCCTCTCTATATGCTAACACAGATTATATTTACGTGCATTATAACTGTTTTCATTCCAGAAGATGTGCTTTACGTATCGAGAAGTCTTGTGTGTGTCTATATACACGATGGACTAACATGACCAGTAATACACAGATATCAACCTATAAACACACAACACTCAGTATTCTGTGCTGCATTAACAGTGACCAGTTCACATCAGATTATGTCCAGTTCAGCTAAAGTTAAACCTGATGTGAATACAGCCAGTGACCTGTTACCATGGTGATTCACAGAAAGGTGCATTCACAGAGATATTTTAAAGGATGGTGGAGAGAAAGAGGGGGATAACAAAGTTGTCACATGTTCCTGACCTCAGAGGCCAGCATCTGGCACCTCAGTACAACATGGTGTACTACAATATGGCACATACTGACGTGTTCACACATGTCATAGGACGGACATTTCCTGACCTGTTATATTTCAATGTAGTACAATATGGCACACATTGACGTGTTCACACATGTCATAGGACGGACATTTCCTGACCTGTTATATTTCAATGTACTACAATATAGCACACATTGACGTGTTCACACTTGTCATAGGACGGACATTTCCTGACCTGTTATATTTCAATGTACTACAATATGGCACACACTGACGTGTTCACACTTGTCATAGGACGGACATTTCCTGACCTGTTATATTTCAATGTACTGCAATATGGCACACACTGACGTGTTCACACTTGACATAGGATGGACATTTCCTGACCTGCAATATTTCAATGTACTTCAATATGGCACACAGTGACGTGTTCACACTTGACATAGGACAGACACTTCCTGACCTGTTATATTTCAATATACTACAATATGGCACATACTGACGTGTTCACACTTGACCTAGGATGG